CTAAAAGTCTTTTAAAATTTATGAGGTAATTAGATGCAATATATTTTAATGCACGCTGAAATTTCCATACCTGTACCACAAATACTGTTTGGAATAAACCTATTATTATTATTATTATTATCTAGATCAGGGATACAGTCAACACAATATAAGTATGTCCACATCCACACAACATCAGTATATGCACAACATAATATGCAAACTGAGCCTGGTAAAAACGTTCTATTGCAGAAGTAGAGCGTTATCTCCATAAGATAAGATTGAAGAGAAGACAAATTCAGCGAAGAAAATGCTTCTTTATCGACGAAATCATCTTCAGAGGCTGGTTGGCTGTACAGTCGTATTTATACTTAGCAAAAATATATAGTGGTCTATTATTGAGCATTAAGGGGGAGCGATGACATAACTGATATAATTACTCGGAAGTGGTTTTTTGAAGTAAAATTATAAAAGTTGTAAATTACGTGGTACTCAACGGCACAAGGTTAGAAATTCGATAAGATGAAACTTACTATTGAGTGAGAATAAAGGTATTTGAATGTCAATTTAACAGGTGTGAAGACGGTGTGAAAATGTCCAAAAGGAACATATGAGATTGATATAAGAGTGAATTAATTATTAAACCAAAAGTAAACTAAAAGTAAAATTGAAATTCTGTAACAGTTCGTCCAAAGTCAACAGATTGCATACTCAAGTGCAATTCGAAAATCTTATTAATCAGACTAACGATTTTACACTCATATCACCTGAAGAATTCCAACACTTTAAATCCACTGTTGATGATTGCTGTCATCAGTTTACTAGTTCAAAATCTAGCTCGAATAATCTTCTGACTAAAGAGCATATAGACCAACTGAAAGAGCTAGAGAAGAATGATGATATTATCATATGCCGTCCAGACAAGGTGGGGGTGTCGTAGTTATGAATCGCCAAGATTATAATGATAAAATCTCAGCGATCCTTTCTGACCAAACGAAATTTGCCAAGCCCGACGGTGAAAAGAACAAGACACACTTAATTGAAAACCAACTGACTGATGTCTTAAAGAATATGAGGAATAAGTCAGCAATATCGTCAGAAATATACGAACGCATCCGACCAGTAGGCTCCATTATACCACGTTTGTATGGACTACCGGAAATTCACAAGACAGCATTACCCCTCCGTCCAATCCTCGATATGGCGGGATCTCCTTATCACGGAATCGCTCAATGGCTAGCCGAAATACTGGAATCAGTCAGAAGGCAAGTATCTAAATTTTCCATTGATGATATGTTTAAATTTATTGATAGCATTAAAGATTTTAATGTCACAGACAAAGTCATGTTCTCATTAGATGTTACGTCGCTATTTACCAATGTTCCTCTCATGGAAACTGTTTGCTATTTATGTGATTATATTGATACACATAGTTTAGAAATAGGTTTGCCGACAATCCACCTCAAAGAACTTTTATTGAGATGCACGTTGAATGTTCAGTTCACCTTGAATAATGAGATCTATAGACAGAGAGATGGCATTGCCATGGGATCACCACTGGGTCCTTTTTGTTATGTACTCGTCGACAAATTATTGTTATGGACTGGTCGAGAAACTAATAGTCCTGACGCAAGAAGGCGGAAATCAGAAGACCACTAGGTTTGCGATGATACTTCTATTTTCCAAACACAGAGAAACAATAAGTGGTATCACACCAAAGTAAGTCACAAAATTGTGAATGCGAAATATATATGACAAGGGTGTGAAATCATAGACAGTTTAACATGATGGCTAATTATAATGAAGTATGGTCCATATATACAATGCGAAATTAGCAGACATGTCAACACACATATATGGATATATGTCACCAAGCAACGACTGTCAACAAACACTCATAAATATATATAATATAAGGAAATAACATTGTAAAGGAGACAAGTTCATACAGTTGGCTGATTGTTTTATGGCAAAACTGGAATATTCTCAACTTAGTCAAACCACGGCCATTTTGACATTTATAAAAGATACGTAGATGACACTTTCGTCGTTATCTGCGATAATAACGTATTTCTTGATGATGTCTTGTTTGCCTTCAACAACTGCCATCCTTCACTATAGAAAAAGAATCTGAACTAAGTATCGCGTTTCTTTACGTGTGCCATAGCAGACGTAATGACGGATCTCTCAAAAAATCTATCCACCTGAAAAGTACATCGAATGGACAACTAACTAATTTTTACAGATGGGTGCCTATTTCTGGAAAATGAACTTAATTCATTTACTGTGCTTTAGGATAAGGAAAGTTTGTAGTTCTGATTGTCTTGACTTCTTAAAAGCCACACTCGCAGAAAACGGTTACCCTAACCGATTTTATTTTTACAATATTGAATTCTATCTTATCAAATTTCACACCATATTATGTCACATTTTATATTCGTCTACTTATCTTATAATTATGTACCTCTTTCTGAAATCTATACTCTTTACGTATTATTCTATATATGACAATTATTTTGCCACTTGACGTTAAAATATGATTATATTCACAAATATTTTAGTTTTAATTGCATTTCATACTACTGCTATTATTATTTCATGTACCCACACCTTTGACCTAATTCCCTCACCGGATATAATTTCTTAAAAACCATATATATACGATTGTAAAGCTTGATAATAAATTCGTTGAAAAGAGTCTCTTTGTTGAATATTGTGTTCATAAATCTACTTATGTTGACCCGAAATAGATAAAGAATCTAGAGAATAGTTCAGCTTCAGCACTGACTACATGCAATTACACATAACCATCCATAGAATAGGATGGAATAAGATGACAGGGAGAGATTGATAACAGAAGCTTTATTTATCAAATCAACTGCAGGCAACTCTTATAGGAATGATTCATCACCTTTCCACTCAGATATCTGGAAGAGTCTCCTACCCCTACGACGGCGAATAGGAGAGAACAAAGAAAACTATTAAACTTAGGTTTCGAAGTCGTGTGATTATAATTGATAAAATGATTATGAACAATAATGAATTGTGTCCGAAACCTTGTCATCCAGTAAATAATACTGTTACACTCACTGTGTGGTACATCCATCTAATAAACAAACTAATATGGAATTACTTACTACCACAGTGCCGAAGTTTTACACATATATCTATATTATCTCATAACTATCCCCTAAGCTTCAATATAGCCATTTTCACTTCACCATTTCTATTGTGTCACTCCGAAACGGTTTCATATAGGTTCTTGTGGCAAGCACACGCGTGTATGTGTGCTATCAGAATGCTTGAAATGTGTATTGCGCAGAAATGCATTACTCTGATTGGAAGCTTATGTAATGCGTTTCGTCTTTTGTTGAGTACAGACCAAACCCTATTAGATGACAAGTTTTTAGTGTGGCTTGTCATCACGGTGCAATTTGTATTCCTGTCATGTGTTGATGATTGGAGACAATTAGCAGGAAACGCCATCTGGACCTATGTTTCGTACTTGTTCTCATTTACCAGTCAGCAAGGTCTATCTATCAACTTGATGGAAGGCATATCTTTTAAACGAAGTGTTGTGAATCTCACCGACTGATGAAACCATGTTTTGGTTTGACCACCACTGGTTGTTTTCCAATCTTATACATCCTATGTTAGCTAACATTGCTCCTCGAGGAAGAAGATGGCCGGACATGTGTAACACATATCCTAACCATCTTAATCAGTGTAGATTCACAATCTCTTCGACTGATTTCCTCTCCTTAACTAGCACTCGATCGATGCCTAACCTAAATATTGCTCACCTTATTGTACCCCTTAACATGGGAGATATAACGCAGACACCTATAATCAAAGACAGCTAGCCGGCCTTTACATTTCTTCCACTTTCAATGACCAGGTCTTACTTACATCCATAAAGGAAGAAACAGCTAACTTCCTGAACAATACACTCGCCCTTTGGTCCACAGTTACCCGGATATGACGTCCACGCCAAAGACGGCATATGCTAAACGAGCCCTCCGTATCCATGTTGAGATTTTGTCAGCGATCAACCTGTCGGTGTTAGCCAAATAAGTAAAGTGGTCAACACGCTCTACTTCGTCACTCCCTCCCTATCTTTAAGCCAGGAGTCGCTGTAGTCCAGTCCTGTAACCTGAAAGTCGAGAGTTAAATCTTTAGTGATGGAGTCAACGGGGGGGTACTTCTGAAAAATCAGTCCAAAAGCATGGGGACGAAACACCTATCCATTACTACCTTGTGACTCTCAAGTTCTCTCACTATGAGATCAGTTTGAGAGCAAACGTCTAATCTCCACGTTTTCCTTAGATGCTACTGTGTAAAATAGAGTCCATCATGAGGACAATAACCACCACTAACGCACACCTCAATCATATTCACTATTCGCAAATTAATCCGTAAGTTACACAGTTCGAGAAGACGATTATTACCTCTGGAAACCGAAATTATTCAGATCACACACAATGTGAAACAATCACCTCCTAGAAATGTGTAAATTGAGAATCAACTTGCTGGTACCAGTTCTTCCGAGTAGAAGCTAACCAGAAGTCAGAATTCATTAGCTGACCATCGGACCAGGACCCAGTGGCTCAGTGGTCCAGAAGCTAGCTGGTCTGGTAACCAGATGCTCCTGGGTTCGAACCCCATGATGTGGATGTGTACCAATGAAGAGTCCTAAACTATACTGACGAAACAGTTGTCCAGTACCCCTGACTGGTCTTCCAGTGTTGCCTTTAACTGATATCAGCTCATGATGAATATCCTCCATTAAATCAAAATGGTTTCAACTACACCGGGCTTTCTCAGCTGAATCAATCACATAGGATGATAACACCGTTGACTGATGAGTTCCGCCCTAAACGAGTGAAACGTTCGCTGTGTTCAGATCACTTAGATATATAGCTAGCAAGCACTAATACTGGTTAGTATGCATGGTGTCTAACCACTCGCCTCAATAAATCAGTGGTGTGCAGTTTTAAGACAATAACTTCCCCTTGTAAATGAATCGATTAATTTGAAATAAAAAAAAATCAAAAGTCCACAAAAGTGATTTCTTTTAACGAATGAAATGTGAAGAGTCAAATAGACAGAGAGTTGAGGAGAGAGAGAGAGATAGGTAGTGAGTGAGTGAATGAGTGAGTAAGTATCATAATTTACCGCCACACCACAGGAATGTACAAAAACTGTACACACACTGACTGGGAGCGCAATACACAATTACGACATATCCATGGCTTCAACATCTGGTGCAGGCATATCACGGATAACTCGTGTTGTCACCACATCAAATTCTACACGATGAATGGATTTATTGAGTACAGGTGTAGTACCCTCTGGAGGATTATACTTCTCTGCTCTGTAAAAAAAATAAAGAAAGCAAAAATGGAAATTTTGTAGAATATTTTTTTGGTGAAGCAATTTACAACAACAACAATAAAGCAGGCGGAGAGATATTGAACTGAAACTGACTAGGATTGCTCTGATGAAATCTCAGCGTATAGATATCAAAAGGCTAGTATGTGTGGTGGTATTTGCCAACTTAAGCGTCATCTGCGGTGCAAACATGATTGATGTTAGGTCAGAAATCAAAGAACATGTGTACTGTACAACAGTTCTCTTTGTCCTCCTCTTTTGTGTGGCTGTCTACCTGTTTTCAACATAGAACTTTGAATCGATGTGCAGCAGTTCGAGTCGCCACACTTCACTCACCACACAAAGCAAGAGAAGAAATGCAAAACAGAGACAGTAGACAGGGATATGAGACAAAAGGAAGTAATAACGAAGAACAATATAGTTTTATTGGAAATTATAAGTCACAAGGAGTAGATGCATCTGCGCCAGACATTGAGAACGATTTTGAACTATATCACCGATTGTCTCCAGCCATTGATGTTTACCGTCCCAAGGACCCCAATCAGTCAGGAAGTCTACACCTTCTACGTGGCTAGCTGGCTTAAACTAACTGTTGTGGATTTCATTGACTGATGATGTCATGTTTTGGTTTGACTACCACTGGCTAGATCTTTTCCGATCTGACCCTATGTCAGCTAACACTGCCCATTGTCGAGGAAGGCGATGACTAGGCATACATACGTAACACATGTCCTAACCATCTCAGACAATGTAGCTTTACAGCCTCGTCGATTGATTTCCCCTCCCACCTACCTAGCACTCGGCCAATGCCTGGCCTGAGTATTGCTTACCATACCCTATTGTGTGGAGCTGTAAGACATAACCATTGAAAGTGGGAGATATGACAGAAAGGCTGCCTAAATGTCTTTGACCATAGATGTTTGCGTTCTATCTCCCGTCTCAAGTGGCATAATATAGTGAGTTAAGAGAAAGGAAGTTAAATCAATCCATGATGTTATCAAGGTTAACCAATTTAACATATTTAAGACATATGCTGAGCATACTGTACCAACCACCTCCATTGGCCAACTTGACATTTCCACTCACCTAGATACTATGATCATCATTATTTATTATTATTATTATTCGATATTTGTACCTCCAAATGGACTAATAAAGTATGTTAAAACTGTAATAGAACCAATAAATTTCATGATTCACATTATATGCAGTTAGCAAGCGGCATCAACTAACGAAATAAACAATGGATCCGCTTTCTACTCTGCACTATGTCTTACTACTGTTATTGCTTTGTGTGCATGGAAGTCACTAACAAGGAATTCGTGTATGAAGGTTATTCCTTATACTTCGACTAAAGCAGAGATAGCTAGCGTGCGTCAGTGATTCAGCGATAGAATGCTCACCAATCACGCATATGGTCCGTGGTTCACACAATCTCCGGTCACCGACGCACTCCTAAACCTCACTAACCTAGTATTAAGGAGAATAAAGAAGGAAGGTTGGACATGAGGCCAACAATCCTATTCCGTAGGAATAGAAACCACTGCTATGAAAACTTCAAGACTCCAGCAGACTGAAGCCCTATGTTCAATTCGGGACAAAAAAGGAAAAAAGTAACCAAGGATGGCAAGGCGGTGACTAAAGTATTTATAAAAAACAAAATAATTGAGCAAAGAATATCCCCCTTTCGATAATTGCCTCCTCTTCTGACTATACAATTATATATACATGTTTACATAGAATATTCTAGAATAGTGACCAATAACAATATTAGTGTGTTTTTTAAATAATATCGATTTGTAAAGTAAGATCACAAAGGAATTACAGTTCACTAAAGATGCTTAAATTATAATGATAAAATTATTACTAGCAAATAGAACATCAAAAAAAATTAAGGAAACTTCCACAGCCTTCACATACTGAGTTGGTGAAAGACAGTGTGAAGGAAACTCTTGGATTTTTCGGTAGGATAAAAGATTTAGATGTTGACAATAAATTCATGATATCATTTAACGTATCTTCCTTATTCACCAATGTATACCACTTATGGAAACACAGTAGACTTTGTATGTGAAGAACTCATAAGACGAAACATCGATGTCGGCATTCCTCTCGAAATGCACAATGAATGTCCACTTTTTATTTAATAAGAAACTATATAGAAAAATCGACGGTATGGCCATGGGGTCACCAATAGAACCCATTCTAGCTGATATTTTCCTTGCGAAACTAGAAAATCGACCTTTGAAAGATGTTCAGTGATGAACTTGAATTCTATTGTCGGTACACGGATGATACACTTTTGATTATGAAAACAATGAGGATGAAGAAAAGAACATCCTTGTCGACAAATTTAACGAGGTACATACTGCAATAAATTTTACTATTGAGGAAGACAAAGACTCTAGTATTTTATTTCTAGGCTTCCTTATGACCAGAAAAGAAGATGGCACAATAAGAAGTGTATATAGAAAAAACCTACATCAACTGACAGTCAGTATACTAATTTTTTCAGCTTTGTGCCCTTGAAATACAAACGCAATCTGATAAAGTGCTTGGTTCACAGATCAAGAGCCATCTGCTCGGATGAATGTCGTAATGAGGAACTGAATAATATTAAGTGGTTGCTGAGTGAAAAGGTTAACCAAAAATGTTTATTGACAAGAATATCATTCAAAAATCAAGACAGCCTGAGGTACCAACAGTTTCTAAAAAGGTCTCATTTTAACAAATTCAGTTCCTCGGGGGATAACATCAGCGAGGCACTAACACAACGCCTTAAGAATGCGGTAAAAAGAATGTTCTCTGTTGATGAACTACGCTGTGTCTTCAAAACCACCCTACCCTATTTTGCATTCGCGAGCTAAAGATGAACTGCCTAATTCCGCCTCTTCCATGTGTGTGTATCTACCAACTTAATTGTTCATGTGGAGTGAGCCAGTTACATAGGCTATACAATTAGGCGTGTTTCTCGTCGGATTTCCGAACATCACCCTGCTTGGTTGGTTAAGTAAAGGACAAACAATCTATTCGTAGTGCTATTCTATCTCATCTTGTGGATACAGAACACACGACTGATGTCAACGAGGCTTTTAAAGTCATTTACCGCATACCAACAAATCTCAACTTCGCCTTAAGAGTTCGACTACTAAATAATGCTGAAGCTGTGGGGATCCATATTAACAAGTCTAATTTGTGCATCCAAAAGAAGTTAGTTCAGACATTAACCTTACCCCACTGGCCATCTAAGTTTGAATGATCTTGAAGTTTTGTGGGATTTTCCTAATTTTAGTTGATATTCAATTTGCTATGATATATTTATTATTATTATTATCATTATAATTTAAGCATCTTTAGTGAACTGTAATTCCTTTGTGATCTTACTTTACAAATCAATATTATTTTTAAAAAAACCTAATATTGTTATTGACTGCTATTCTAGAATATTCTATATATATATATATATATATATATAGGCCTGCTAAGTAAGGCCTTATGTCCCACAAAAACCCAAGCTAATAATTATAACAATACAACGCAGACTTACAGGGTGATACAACAGAATTAAATTAATAAATAACTTCTTACCTTTCACCTTTAACATTCGCTTCATCATACGGTCGAATATACTTTGTGCCATCTTTGGTTATTATACAGATGTCAACATTACTTCCTGAACCCATATCATTGAATATACCAGCGGCGATACCATCACGTACTAGTTGTACAGCTTCATCTTGCTTGAAAAAATATAGTGAGAAAATATTTTTTAAAAAACACTTGAGAATTAACTCTGTCCACCAGCAATGCGCTCGCCGATAATACACATGGTCCGGGGTTTGATTCCCGGTCACCGAAGGACTCCTTTACCTCGCTAAGCCAGAAATAATTCTGGTAAAGAGAAAAGGTTGGGCATGAGGCTAGCAACCCCATCCTGTAAAAATAAACACTGCTACAGAAACTTCAAGCCACTAACTTGAAGCCCTATGTTCCACTGGGAACGTGAGGGAAAAAAATCAGCAATGCGCACTGTTTCCACTTTCGTTTGACATCATTATAGATGTATTAGAGTGGAACTGATTGCCCCCCTCCTTAAATGACTTTAGTGACTTAGAGATCAACATGTTGCCAGGGTAGTCTCGTCGATTTAGAGCCTGAACACCATGGACAGAAGGCAGGAGGGATTCGCTCCTGTCAATTAATTGTACGATGATGATACAGGACTGGTTTGCATCGACTACTAGACTAAGTGATAGGGAGAGAGAGAGAAACGGTAGAGTACTGACCAGTATTTCACTTACTTGGGAGGTTACATCAACCTCGTCGACTAACTGATTGCTGAAGAAACCTCAGAGACCTACAGCAGATGTGATGTATACACAGCATACATAAAAGATTTATGCACTGGTGAGAAAGCCTCTTATTCTAATAGTGAAATTATCTCCCTTACATAGTATTTTCTGAAGCAGAGAGAGAGAGAGAGGGAAAACTTGCTATCAATAATCCCAATGTCTAACGATTATTTATTTAAACGCAAAAAAATCTCGGTACAGTATGGCACCAAGAATGATGCGCCACACAATACTAATAAAACAATATAGATTAAAAGTAAAAAATATAAGTAGAGAACGGATAAAAAAACTTCATCTGGAAGGAAAACAGTCATATTTAACAAGTTCAAACAGTATTCGTCAACTATCATCAAAAAGGGGAGAAAGAAGGAAATTGCAACACGTTTGCCATTGATGATTACGATTCTTGGCCATATCCGATAACGCTTCGAGCCATCGATTCGAGCTATCTCTCCGACCCCAACCACGGAGTCGTGACACACCGACCGATGCTAACCTAACACAAATATTCTTCATCCCACGAGTTCACGACATGGGATGACCACCTGTCCGCCTTTTCCATATCGTCCCAGGGCTGACTAGAGAACAGAGACTTATACGGAGGCCTCTGGTATGTCCAAGCCACCGGAGCCGATGTTTCCAATGAAGACACTCAATGAATGGTGATCTCCAATGTGTTCAAACACATGCCTCCCAACCTCAGAATTACTCACGCGGTGATGCCGTCGAACGCAAGCAATCCTTCGAAAATAGTGATGATCGAACACACAGAGTCGCCGCACATTCTCAGCCTACTCGAACAGGCTGTTTCACAGGCGAAAAGCACCGAGACATTGTATACCCGACCTTTGGCAGCCAGACTAACGTCGCGACGGCGCCAAATGTCTAACGAAGCATAAATCCTACTTGTCAAAATTTTCAGGGACACTGAAGAAAGCAGTCGCAAAGTTTTATCCACTGAATTGATCATAACAAACGGCAAATGAACTCCTTGTCCTAGAGACTGTTTTGAAGACAACTATTAATCCATAATCGTTAGTTGTTAACGTACGTATATATCTGTATCATATTTTGTGGAGGGGGGGAGGCATTAATAATGACAATCTTCAGACAACTGTCATGTATATCACCGCTCAAACTCACAACATATATTTCATGTATCACGATTTCAGCCATGCTAATTGGAAGATGACATTATTATCTACGCTAAGTATAGATGAAGCGCGGTTTGAATTTGAAACACATCTCCTAATCAACCAAAACGTGAAAATGAAGCTATTACTTACACTGTCATATCATTGGCAGTATTGAAAACATATTATCACAAAGACAGTTTTTCCACTTCAAACCAAATTCAAAAGTGACAGATATAGATATCGGTCGTTCGACTCGAGTTTTGGCCAAGAGGGTACAAGAACAATATCCAGCATTCGGGTTACGAAGAGGTGGGAGTGGAACAATAAGAAGCGCGATCATTGAACATCTGGTCGATAATGATCACCCTATCTCTATAGCCTTCGCCTTTAAAGTCATCTACAAGGCAAAGAGTAATTTAACCAAATCCCTTCGTATCCGACTCATCTGTATGGCTGAAGCCATCTTTGGCTATCGAAACAGAAAATTCAGATCTCTGTGTACAGAAAAAGTTCGTTCAACCCCTCCCCTCCAACTTTCATGGTCTTAATCCCTGTATGCTAAAATATGGTAATCCCCAATCATATTTTAGCTCTACCAATTTTTCATTTCTTCTATTCAATTTGCATACTCTTCCTTTATTGCACTGTCAATTGTTACTATTACTATTCTCACTTTGAACTGTCCCTGGTATTATTTCACATGTTCCACTTGTCATTCTAAATCAATTCTTTTTCGCAACGTTAAATTCTATGCTATCAAATATCACACAATATTACGTAACGTTTTTGTTTTATTCGATCTGTCTACTAATCCTATAATTGCACACCCCACCCACCAAGTTCTATCCATCCTATGAATTATTCTATATATATATATATATATATATATATATATATATATATATGACATTAATTTGCTTTGCCATTTGACATTTACGTATGATTATAATCACAAACATTTTAGTTTTAATTGCATTTCATATTATTATTATTTTATGCATTCACACCTATGATTCAATTCCCGCACCGGATATAACTTCTTAAAAACCATATATATACGATTTTACAGCTTGATGATAAATTCGTTGAACTCTCTTCGCTGAATCACCACTTGTTTTGATTTTCTAGATGTAGATACGTATATTAGTGAGAGTCAACGAAAGAAGCAATCAATATTGAGTAGCCGATTACAGTGCATTAGAAATATATGAGGTCAACATTAGTGAATAATGCCTACTCCGAGTTATTGTGCTAAATTGTATTGTCTAACATAAAGATATGACAATTTATGCGCAATCTTCGCTTCAAAATTAAGTGGGAAAAATAGGACATGGGTTACTTCTGAGAAGCAGATATTCATAAGTCATATGCTTAAGAATTCTCTTCATCTTAAAAGTCACAAAGATTTTAATCAGTCATAAGTGCTTTACAATTAACAACTATAAAGAGGAGAAAACACACCAAAACTCCACAGAATACCAAACTCTAAAAAAAATGTTGGAAGTTGACGCTTCCATAAAGTTAGTTAGGGCCACATAGGAAGGTGCAAACGGTTTGTTGAATTCGTCAAGATACTGAGAACCAATGTCTGGAGATTATTGGTGACACGGCTCAAAATCGTCGTCTTCAATGGTGCAGATGCATTCATTCTTCGTTGTCCCTTAAATTTATTAAATCAGGTATCCTCATATTACTATTACTTCTGTCGTAGATTTCTCATTACAATCCTTGTGAATTTTTTTCGTTTTACGTCCATGCCCATTTCTTAGTACAGTCTGATGTTGAAACCCAAAGTCACTAGAAGTGTTATTCATTTTCAATGGCGACAAGAACTGCGGAAAAATGCAGAATTAATTTTAGCTCCCCGGAATGTGACGATTAGATCCCCGTCAGATACACAGACGGGTGTTACGTGTAATGCATATTACACTGGAGGTGAAACCAAGAAAAATGTGACAGTAGGAATGCTGGAGTCTTCTCGGAGAAGTTAAATTTTAAGCACCAGTAAGCACTAACGAATGAGTGACCTCGAACGCGCCAACTACATGATAAGGGTGATATTGACGTATAAAATACATATATTTATTAAAATGAATTGAAAAGCGTGAGACTACTACACGGGATGCTTTTGTTTGACGTGACAAAGATACCTCCTAGTTTCGGATTAGAGTATCCACGGAGTACTTTGACCACATTCTGTGGACCTAACGATAACCCTAATATTTCCTTAACTAAGCCCCAACGTGAAAATATTCCCAATCTAACTCGAAGCAACCCTAATGTTGCCCTCACTAGGTTAACCTAACCCTAACCTGTCCTTAGACTAAACCTTAATGCAATTTTTTTATTACAGCTTGATTCCACATTGTATTTTTTGGTACAGGTATGGAATTTTCGGCATGTGATATCGGTAGCCCAAATTTTGCAGGCCGACCATAGATATCAGGTGTGCATGAGCAGGGGATCGAACCTCGGACCATGTGAGTGGTCGGCGAAAGTCCTAACCACTGTGCCACCATAAACCTAACCTGAACCTTACCAGATATCCCACTAAATAACACAACACTTCATTAAGCATATTTTATTCATGATTACAATTTTATTCACTAGATTTCACTAACTAGATCACTGAGCACTTCAAGGTGATTGGCGAAGTCGCACTTCGTTGGTACTTACTGGTGCTTTAAGTTTAACTAGACCATCTTCACCTAATCAAAAAAATCAGCCCACTAACAATAAAACAGGTATCCATGTTTAATTACGCAGAACAAATCTAGTTACCAGAACACATTTTGAGAAGTTACTTACCTCCATATTGAATTTATACCTTGCCTCAAGTACTGACATGCAGGCAAGACTTCCACTGCCCATTGTAATATACGGCAACTTATCACTTGAACCATGTGGTGCAACACTAAATAAATGTGGCCCAGTTGAATCAACACCACCCAACACCAGTGCGGCACCTACATATCCTTGATATTGAAAAAGATATCGTTTGAGTAGACGCAGAGGAATAATTACACGTGGTGTCCTTCCTGTATTCAAACGATGGAGTTCAACCTGTGATGAAATCATTGCTGTCACCATTTGTGTATCAGCTGCTGTTCCAGCTCCACAGCAACTGGTGAATATTTGATTTAAAGAAAAAGGATACTGCTTACTATATATTTTTAGCGATGTAGTGAATTTTGGAACAATTTTTCTCAGCGACAATGTTCCCTTCTGTTGCTCGTGTATCTGCACCTAGAACAACACCATCCTGTGGAATATATCTGCTAATCATTCATTAATAAATACCTTGAAAACAACACCACATATTGTTGTTCCAGTCTTTACAGGTTTCGGTATCTGATATCCTTTTTGTTCTATGATTTTATTTCTGAAGAATTTTCAGTTATGTACGAGATTCACAAACCTATAACAATTTTCAAAAGAAAAGCCACCAGGCTTCCTATCCAGTACCAAAGAGCTCATGACTGTGCAAAAAACTTTGAAAAGCCGCGTCACATAGGTCACGGCCTACGGTTAAGATTCAGATGCCAAAGATGGACGTCTCTTTTTGCTTGTGTTAGTCCTTGCAAAATATATCTCTGCAGAGACATAAATCCTCTTTGAAAGCGTTTACTGATGGGGCTGATACTAATGATTCAGGTAAGGAGTTCCAGTTGTTGACCACTCTGTGAGAGAATCTAAATTCTGCACGTATTTTAATCGTCCTGGGTTTGAGCATCTTTTTGCGATGACCCGTAAATGTATCCTAGAAGGGGAGAAAAGTTCAGGGAGGTCAGTTCCTAAGTCACCCTTAAGTATACGGTAAGCCAAAACTAAGTTGCCTCTCTTCCTTCGGTATGATAACCGGAAGAGATTTAAATGCTCCATCCCCTTATCATAAGGAAGGTGTGAGATATCACCACCTAATTTCGTTCATACCCTCTGTACTCTTTCCAGGATGTGTGCCTCCTTTTGTAAACGTGGACTCGCCGCTTGTATGCAGTATTCTAGATGAGGCCTGACATATGTCGCGTAGAGTATTTGGAACATACCCTCGTCTAATCCTTTGAAAGTCCTTCGAAGTGCTCATAGCATTCGAAAAGCCTCAGCTGTGGTCGCATTCCAATTTGCAGTTGTTTTCAAATCATTGCTGGCAGTGATTCCTAGTTCCTCCTGTCCGTTAACATCAGGTGGCTCTGTGTCCCCTAGGGAGTACGACGTATAAGATTTCTGACCTAAGTGCACTACCGCGCTTTTCCTAGCATTCATTTCCAAAATCCAATTTATATAGATCAGTTTGTAGGGCCGACCTATCCCTGTTATTATTTACAGTTTTCCATATCTTAGTGTCGTCTGCAGATGAACTAAGAATCCGCGGTAGTTCATTAACGTATTATAGGAATAGCAAGGGGCCTAAAACAGTGTCCTGAGGCACCCCCTGGATATTGCTTTCCATCCTGATAGTACACCTTTAACTCTAACCTTCTGCTTTCTATGCATTAATTAATCCCTAAACCACCCACATAGGCACTGGTCTAGTCTGAAACCTTTGAGTTTACTATGGAGACCTAAGTGGGATACTTTATCGAATGACCTGCTAAGATCGATAAAAACCACTTCCAACAGAAGATTTTATCTCTGGCTACAACCCAGTCTTCCCTAGCCAATAATAGGTTTGTCAGGTAGGATCGTCCTGGTCGGAATCCATGCTGTTCCACCGCCAGCAAGCCATGTTTTCCAAAGCGAGCTAATAGCCGATCCCTTATAATAGTTTTCAATACCTTTGCTATAACGCATGTCAGACTTACCGGCCGGTAGTTAGATACCGATTGCCTGTTCCCCTCTTTGAAGATAGGGCTTACAATGGCATCCTTCAGTCCCTGAGTAGCTTAGCCTGGGTCAGAGACATTTGGAAAATCTCCATAAGTGGAATATATATCATATCCGCCAAGGAAATTAACAGTTTAGAGTGAAGTCCATCAGGCTCGGGTGATTTACCTGGCTTCAGTTTAGACAGTAGTTTGAGGTCCTATGTGTGCTCTGGCACAGTTGAAGGCATCTGAGTGGCGATGGTAGTGACCTCGCCATATCCCTTGGTGATACGATGAGACGAGAAGACGTCAAAGAAGTATTCAGAGGGGTTTTAAACCTTTCCCCCGTCTGACTCAGCCACTTCTCCACTAATGCTTATGAGTGACGGTATACTACTGCTAGTTTTAGTCCTAAGTTTAACATACAAGTATAGCCTTTTTGGGTAATGAACACAACCTAGTACTAACCCTCTCTCGTACTTTATACGGCTCTTGTTAATCGCATACTTACAAAGATTTCGAATTTTGCGGTAGTCTTTCTGGAAATTTTCCCTTCCTGTCATAATAAATTGGCCCTATCAATCAGGTCTCAAAAACCGCTAATGCCCAGCTCTTGCTACGCTCGGCCTCTCGCTGTCCCTCGAAGCCTTTCAGAAACGCTTAGTACCAACGGACGCAAAAACCAAAACACCGATTAGCGACTCGAGAATTCTTTATTCTAACACCAACATATGAGCAGCATAATAACTAAGGTCTATGAACAAATATTAGAATAATAAATCACGATATTACCTCTGACGGTTTTGTACGTGCTTTCTGAACAGCGATCGATGAGACGATGACTGGCAGATTGATGCCTCCGCGAAAATATAGGGAAGTTGGGTTTGAGCAAACAACCATGAATTGATCGTTCAATCTTCAGCTACATTGACAGGTCCCATAAGTTCTTTCGCCGTCTTAATAGCCTCCTTTTTTCACCAGTGATCCAAGAAGGCCTATGCGATAGCTTTCGAGGAGTGTACCAAGGTATAAAAAGTGAAGTGACACAATCTAGTGTATTCCTAAATCCCACCCAAGCTTCCTCGACAGTCCGACTTGTATCAACAGACCAGTCAGCTGCAGTCGATGCGTTCCGGATTCCCGGTATATCCGCTTTCCAAATGTTTGAACGAACAGATGTTGAACTGTGTATGAGAGAATGAATCTCAAACATAAAATAATGACCACGTGGTCACTGCTGTCAAGTGGTGGAAGGCACCTGATGTTACTAACGTCCTCCTTCTGGTGTGTTTATACCAAGTCTAGAGTAGATGGATTACGATAGGGGTGATGCCGTGTTGGTGTATGCATATGTTTCACGAGTACACATTCAAGCACTGTCAGTGTGAGCTCCCTAATGAAACAGGTATTCAAACTAGTGGAGTTTAATTCACCCTAATTAATACGTGGAGCTTTAAAGTCGCCAACAACCAGACACCTATTTCTACCACTCCAAGCTCTCAAGTGATTTGGAACGAAGTCATCAGCTTGGCTAGCAGGACTTCTGCAAATAACTCCGATCGTTAAGGTACTTTTTCTCAAATTAATGACGCAATTTGCGGCTTCACTGGTGCCGCTGTCATGAGCTTCTGACAACGTTGTTCTAATTCCTATGTCATCCCGGATGTATAGAGCAACCCTTCCCACCTTTCCGAGGATATACTCTGTCTGCTCGAATGCAGATAATAGTAATACATTCTCATTTTTGTAAATGAGGGACGCCAGTTTACAGACATCATCAATATGATAAATAAGCAAGTGTATTTAGTAATGATAATTTAATAAGTTACATATTTGTTCCTACCTATGTATGACACACCAGTGGTACAGGCTGGATAAGTACTATTTAAAATACCGTAAATTCGGTTTATGGTTAAATTACATGGTTGCTGCTGTTTCTTAATTTGGTTTGCGATAACAATGGGATAACTAATCATTCGATGGAGCACATCAAGAAATATAGAAGTATTGTCTTTGCATTAACAAGAAACACGAGATGTACCAAGATGGGTGGGGTTACGTCGAGACCCACTAACAACCATGTCTCAGTGACAGCGATCGCATCAAGTTGTAGTCAGATAATTCTCCTAACTCAGCGAGCTTATTTCTAAGACTACATGCGTTCGCGTAGCACACTGAAACACCTACGTATTCATCCTGCTTATGAAGAGATGTTTCGACAGCATCAGTTTCCGAGAGCTCACCACCCGAAAACAAAATAGCTTGAGGTCTTTTTCGCCTTTCTCTCGCCTGGCCTTTAGTTCGGCTACGGCTTCTCTTCTCCTGATTCTATTTTCTAAACGCCAATGGGGCCTTGCTTTAGGCTCTATCATCGATTTTGAACAAGTTGTTGAGAATGGCACTCCTCTCTGTTTCGCTCCCCGAGACTATCTTTAGTAGTCGTCGAGAGTTTTCCGTGGCATCAGGATTTCGTCTTCCAATCCTGATGGCCTTTCTTATTTGGACTCCAATTGCTTTTTGGGAAGTATTTCCCGGACAATGGAGCTAACCGCCTTCAGATCATCCGCATGTTGGGCAGCTAGATCGGTGTTCTTAAATTCCTCTAAGTTCCAGATGATGACACTGTAACTAAAGCCCGTGAGTTTCGGAGTTGGGCTGGTATTAATAGCAGCCGAGGCCGTGTTCGTAAACCCGGTTACTGTTTCTTTCCTACGTTTATTTTGCTTCTTACTTGTTGGCACCAATGAGGTGGAGTCGGTCTCTTCTACTTTGTTTTCGCCGCAACTTGAAGCCATTCATACACTAGACACACTGCATTTTGGCATGGCTGTTTCGTAGGCTGTTGTTGCAATGCTGGCTCTTCTTGCCCTTTTGGATTTTCCTTGTTTTTTTGCTTTGCCGCAGCAGATATTTGGGCACTTCGAGCCTCTTTTGTCACTGAGACTTCAGGAGATGATACACTTAGTTTTAAAACTAAGTCCTGAACCGCCATTCTGGGCAAAGATTTCTGGTGTAAGCTTTTCGACTATATTTTTTGACAATTTCTAGGACATCAGGAGTCCTACTGCCTCATGGATGAGAACTTCCAACTAGCCACTACGAAATTTGCACAGCCACGGAGATGATGGCTTGCAACATCTCTTATAGGCTACTGGTGAGAAACCAGTGCAAACTTTGTGGAACCATAGGCTGTATTTGTCACACTGCACCCCATTATCCACCGGAAAGTGGCAGTCCGGTCGTCCGCAATTGTTAGTCGCGCTCATAACTCTAATTTGTATAAACTACACAAATATATACATGAAAACTGTGATGTAAATGCCAACCAAAACACAAAATGTGGATGAAATGAACAACGCTTCAACTAAATAAATCAATGTGCGTCGGTGGTACAGTGGTTAGGACTCTCGCCGACCATTCACATGGTCCGAAGTTCGATCCCCTGCCGACTCACACCTGATATCTATGGTCAGCCTGCAAAATTTGGGCTACCGATATCACATGCCGAAAATTCCATACCTGTACCAAAAAATACAATGTGGAATCGAGCTGTAATCAAAAATAAAATAAATAAAAGGCTGCTGATGTAATTTAAACAACAAAAGCAGAGGTTACTTCACGACGTAAAAATGCCACTCTCCTTTTTTAAAGCGCGATTCAAAAGCCAACACCTTTTACGTCAATACCTCCCTTCAATATCTTTCTGTCGAGCTTTTATAAGGCCTT